GGAGTTGTATTATGAAATCTAAGCACTCAAAACAAACTGGCAGCCCCCGAAGGACAAGCTCCAGCTGTAAATCCGTGCTCCTGTGTCGGTTCTCGGGATCTGCTGCGTGCACAAGTTGTACGAATTAAAACGTGGTGTCTCTGCCTGACTAATGCCATGAGCCGGGCCAGGACTGCGGCACCGGGGCTTGGAGCAGAGCGTGACCATCCCGGGAAACCCAGAGGAGCTGGCAGCACCGTTACCTTCGTGCCATTCAGACAGATGAGGAAGAGGAGCAGGAAACAGCACAGCTTTGCTGGAACACGAATCTCATCATGAGGGTCTCCAAAGCCTTCTCACTCTCCCATCGCATCTCTTGGTCCTCACGGTGAGGATCTGTTCCAGGATAGAGCAGATCCCAGCAGTTTTCTCACTGAAGAGCAGGAGGGGCCCAGCCCGTGGCCAGGAGGACGCGGTCCCAGCTGCTGGGAAGGGCTGCTCGGGGACACCTCCAAGCGGGGCTGTTCCGAGAGGAACCCCAAAGCGCAGGCTCGGCCCTAGCAGCGAGCTTGCTCCGAAGGACCTGGGGCAGCAGCAGCCAAAAACGAATCCCAGAAGCACCAAGTCGCCGCCTTCCCCTGGGGATCCCGGGCACCGCAGCGGTGCCGAGCCCGGTGCGACAGCTCCAGCTTGTGGCTACCCAGGGCTGCTCCGGGCTGTTATTCCAAGGAATCCTCCCATCTCCCTTTATCATCTACCTGCTTTTCCTGAACATCAGCAAGCGCTTAACGTGCAGCCAGCCCCTTCCATCGCTGCTGCAGTCCACCAAGGAGGGAGAGAACACAGATCTGATTAGGCCCAAGCTCCACTAAATCAAGAAGACAGTCGAGAACAGGAAAAAAAAATAATTCGATTTATTTAGCAGCATCTTTATTGCAACGAAAGGTTTTGTAATAAAACGCAGCAGAACGAATGTCTCCACTTTACATGATTAAAAGCCACATAGCTGGCAAGGGGGCAGGAGGGCGGCCGAGACGTGCGGTCCTGGCAACGTGGTCGGCAGGAGCTTCAGCTACCAAGATTAAACCCCGACCTGCTGTGGGGCAGAACGTCCCAGCAAAAAACAGCAGAGGCTCCTTCTTCCCCAAATGGTGAGGGGCACCGGCCGTGCCGTACAGGGTGGCTGCCTATTTTATGTATTTGTAGCTCTTATTGCCTCTGCAAAACAGCTGCCTTCTCACCACACACCTCCAGTCAACCCCGTTTCGCAGGCACAGGGTGAGCGATGCGACCTGGGGTGCAATTTGTCACATGATGTTCTCAAAATTCTGTGCTTCAGAGGTAAAGCGTTAAAACACCATCCTCCTCCGAGAGGATTTCCATAACCCATTCCCTAATAAGCAGGGAATGCATTTGCCATTTTAATATAATGAAGTTGGCCGATTTTCAAGGCTTTACTTGGTGCTTTATTTCATTAACATTTTGCAGTTAACTGAGTTTATAAAAATCAAGTGATTCTACATAGTTACTGCTTATACCTTCGTCCGAAGGAAGAGAGATGACTGAAAGCAGAGGTGGAGACTGGGCCTTGTCTCAAATGTAAGGAGTGAATCCCAACTGCTCCAAGCACAGGAAACTGCCTGAAATGGGGCTGAATAACGTGCTCCCACCACAAACAGCCAGAACAACTCCCAGCTGCCACAACCAAAGCAAAAACCGCCAGCATCACCACTCACCAACTTCCCTTCCTCATCCCTATGCCCCACGACACACGAGTTTTTAAATATACGGAATTAAAATACCCATCTCCAAAGTGCCAGAGACTAACTGCAGTTAGGAAGGTCTTCTCGAGGGAAGGGACCATCCCCTGGACTGCAAGGTGCTCCCTGGTTCTGGAGCAGCGGCGCCGGAGCAGAGCACAGCCGCTGTTCTCCATCCCACCATGGGACCAGCCCTCTGCCAGGCCACGAGCAGGACTCGGCTCTCCGTCCCAAACCAACACAGCCTCAACAACCTCCTGTGGCAGCAATCTCAGTTATGAAGAGCTTTACCTTCCCTTGTTGCTGGCAAATTAGTCCTGGGCTGGATGAGACCTCGCCAAGGTATTTTCTACCCCCTGCACTGAGCCCGCTGCAAAGCACCGATGACAAATCCTCCTCAGGATGGGCAAACACGGGGTCTTGGAGTGCTCCACTGCTGTACAGAGGAAAAACTCTTAAAGGAAAAAAATACATAATTTATGTTGCAAAATAGAGTACTCGCAGTACTTTGTACTTTAATAGCTTTTTGATATATATTTAAAACAAAGAAAGGATGCATTATTAAAAAGTCATATGTCAGCACTTACATCACATTCTGCACTAAATCAAAATCTAGATGGGATTACTTGCATAACATTCAGTTCTTCAGTTGCCAAAAAAGCACTGCTTGGTGAAGGCCATTTTTGTTGTTTCTTAAACAAAAGGATCAGTTTTGTTTTAAAAACCATATACATTTACATTCAAGGGTAGTCACCTCTAGAAAAAGAACAGAACGCCCCAAAAGCAAGTTAATTTAATATTGAACAAAATATAAACAACCTTGGAAAAGGTGATGCTATCCTTGTGTAATTTTATACATATATGTATATATGAACAGATATAGATATATGTATATATAATACAGCATAAACAAATAAGGAACAAAATGGAATTCCACAATAACAGCTTATGTTTGTCTGTACTCACTGCCACGTTGCCGTTTCAAACGCAGCAGCAGCCTGTTTGTCTCTCCATAATAACTATAGCACACTCCATAGGATGCTGAATTCCCTTCGGGCACAATTAACTGCTTCGGGAAGACAGGTCATGACGGGAGCCCGGGTGCCCTCCCTGCCATGCCTTTTCCAAAACCAAAATTGTAAACTTGTTATTATCCTGCTAGTTGTAATTTAACCATCACTGATCCACTTAAAAATTCCTGCAGTCTTAATACCCCAAAACATGCCAAGCCAAGCGCCCAAGCTGCGTTTGCCGCATGCCCGTCGCTTTGGCTATCGCTCGCGTAACCCCAAGGCTGGATTTACAGATTTTACAGCTGTGTAACTGCAGCAGCTCCCAAGCTTTGGTGCTCGTGCCCAGCAGCACCGCTGAGAACCAATGCGGTTGGATACAGCACGGCCGGCCTGGGTGAAATCCCAGACTTCCAGGATCCAGCTGAGCAATACAGAAGTGAGGGAGACGTAAGGCTTCAACTCGTGGAGGACTAAGAGCTTAAACACTGAGAGTGATTCCAGAGTTTAAAAAGATTTAAAAGAAAATCATGCTCTGCTGCTCTCTAGCATTAAAATGGAAAAAAAAAGGAAGTTCTGAGGTTTCTGAGAACCATTAAAACTTAAAGAAGGCTAGAGGCAAGTCCTAGGGAGAATCTGCTGCGCATTTCTATTTTAAATGACTTGCTGCAAGTTAAAAGTGACTTCACACACTTATGATGGTTTTTAGCCAAGCCTGCTGCTTAGATAAAACATCACTAGCAAAAGCCAACTGTGATTGCATGTCCCTTAGGCTTAGCAGGGTTACCTCAAGCTATACAGGAGGAGTTCCTCAAATACAGCATCACAATCATGCGAGACAAGAGTGCCAGGACTGACCCAGAACAGGGCAGTCTACAGACACAGCAGAGGAGGAGTCAGCAAAACAGTTCCTAGAACAAAGCAGGAAATCTAATGAAACAAGTTCACACTGCCTCACATGTAGTGTTGATAAAGTCTCTCCTCACCAAATCCTCGGCAGATCTTTGATTCAGAATATTTAATTTAAAAACCATAATAGGATGCATATACCTACATCATGCTGACATGGCAATAAGAAAACAGCATTGCAAAAACAGCTCCAGAATGAACACTGGGAATAGTGTCTGCGTGAAATGGGCTGCACTTTTAAGCTTGTTTTAAGATTTACATAGTTTTGGCTCCTTGATTTAATTATCTTGTTTCTCAGAGTAAAAGACTTCTGCTCACAGCATTGTAAAATATCCTTTCACTTCCCCAGGTGAAATCAAGTACAGTCAGGATACGATATCCAGCTATCAAAAAAAAAAGTAGTATGAATTATCCTGGGGAGAAAAAAAAAAAAAAAAAAAACAAACAAAAAAATCTACCATCAACGGAGTTGAATCTAAAATTTAAACTCTTTAGGAGGCAGCTTAAAAGTGTTTTTTCCTAAAAAAACAATTAAGATCTAGAAAGGTTATGTGTCTATCTTCTGACTAGCTTCCAAAGAGCCAGACACATCCCTTTAAAGAAGCATAAAAGCTATATGATAGCATTTAAACTGTAATGTATGTTGTAACCATTCAGGTAAATTCTTGTTATGTAGTGAGTAAAGTCATCTGGGATTATTGTGTAGTAAGATATCAGGAACACACCATAAAAATACATCAGTTAGGTCACGATGCTTTTAAAAAGTGAAGATCTGGTGCTGTGCAAGTATGTTGTTTGAAGTTTCAGCTCCCCACAAGAGAACACCCATGGTACTGCATTATACCACAGACATTTGATTTTATTTACACTTTAAGTTTTAAAGTTATTAGGTTACTGTACTTTAATTTCCTGTATGGCACCAAATTTCCTTTAAAAAAGAAGTGTTTCCGTGCGTGTGTATGTGTACATGTGTGTACATGTGGCAGGCACCAAAATGCAACGTCCCATCCTATTTTCTCTAGTTTTCTATTTCCCCGGCTCGGTTAAGAGTCCGCAGAGGTCGGTTACATTGCCTTCAGGGCAGCAATGTGAGAGCCCAGATTCTCTTGCAGGTAATACAGCAGATGGAGTTCGTAGTGCTCTCCCGACTCGGGTACCCTTATACTGTGTCTCTCCTGAGGGTAGATCTAAAACATAAATATAAAATAAAGTGATGAGCATCCACAGAAGTTGCAAGCTGCAACATTTAAACCAGTTCAAACACTCCAACCAGTTCAAATACTCGTATAATCTCACTGCATTAAGTCAATCTTGAGCTAATAATCCCTCTACTCCGTTGCCTGAACCCGGAGAAACCCATTGCACTTTCTGATCCAGCTGGGATGCAGAGAGGGAATGAGCCTGGCAGAACAGCGGCACCAAGCAATTCAGCCAGTGCGGGTCTGCAGCACGGGCAGGGTGCAGAGCCAGAAGGACTTAATTAAGTGCCTAAGCTGCTCTACGCTGCACGAACAATGTCTCCAGACTGCAGCTGTCCTTGGAGCTCTGAGCTGCTCCTCTAGCTAATAATGTTTGTGATTTACTCATAAGATTTCCCACTCGTTTTTTAATATATATAAATACGGCATTTTTAATCAAGAAGTTCAAGCACCTCAAAACAACTGTGTTAAAGGCTCCAATTCTGGACTCCCCAATGAAAGCAGGATGCCTCATTTTTGCACCCCAGTTCTGGCCTTACCTGTAAGTCGTATGGTTTCCCAGCTCTCACTAAAAAGCTGAGCAAAATACTAGTGTGTGCAAAGTGAACATTCTCATCCAAGAATCCATGCAGCAGCAGCAAACGGTTCGGTCTGAGAAAAGCAAGAGAAACATTTCTATAGAACATTGCAGAATATCGACTATTCCAGCCATTTCATAATCTACAAACATCTCTTCAAATAACCTCAACATTTAACATATTTGCTTTTAAAATAATGACTGTATTATGAGTTGTTCTGCAAGGGCATGTCATTAGCTTCCAAATCTCTCCTTTTCTTCTCTGCAATTCTTCCTGCATATGCACATCATGGTCAGACTTTTATCTGTCAATCTCCTTTATTCTCAGAAGCATTTCCTAGTTTGGACAACACGATGGTTTAACATGTGCTCAGAATCTCTGCTCATTCCCACCTCTTTGGCAAGAAAGCTCATGCTGCTGATCCTGACCAACTACTTTTGCCAAGCTTAAGGCTGCTCTGGGGGCCTAATTACATAGTAGCAGATATGTTTGCCATTTCTTTAGGCATAACAGATAGTTTTTAATTACAACCAGTATAAAAAGGGATTACTTGGAACGGCCTATAATTATGCAAATGTTCATTCACATCTATTAAGTTTTTTGGATTTTGTTTTTTTTTTTTTTAAATACTACCATTCATGGTTCCAGCATTTAATTGCAAGGAACAGGGAGATAAAAACATGTCTGCGGGGCTTGAACCTTCTTGATAAGGAAAGTGGGAGGGAAGAGCCAGAACCCAACTCACTCGGAAGGAAACTTCTCGGCTTGCATGGCCACGGATCCTAGGTAATAGCCCTGCTCGTTGTGATCCGGGTGGCCCATGTAGCGCTCGGTGTAGCCAGTGTCATAGAAAATCCACAGTGTGACTGGTGCTCCAGCAATGGCAACCTGCAAGTTCAACAGTGCTCTCAGCGCGGGGAAGGGATGTGACAATGACAAACCCCACTCACTTGGGGATGTCCCTTCCTCCCACGCCACTGTCCCAGCACGGAGGGCGCTGACCAGTGCCTCTTACAATTCCCACAGGTTTCAATGGAGAAAAGAGAAACAAAAAGCAATCCTTGCCCTCTTGCCTAGCTACAATAAACATGCTGAAAACTTCTACCACTGCAGGACCTAAAAGACATCGTCCCAGTCTGTCTGCAAGCACCACTCTGGTAAAGCTCCATCCGTTCTGAGGAGTTACCTTTTACAGATGCAAAACTGATCATCTGTGGTCCTCAAGCTGCAATCGGTGCTTTTAACATCATCCCTGCACTAGCTGCATGACAGAACGGATGCAATCAGGGAAAACTTCCCTGGTAGAGCAGATCGGTCTGCAGAAAAACCATTCCTTCAGGGCAGGAGAGCAGGAAGGACAGGTGGAAGTGTTATTTTTCAGCATGATGAGTTCCTTAATTCACAGCACAAAGAGCTTGGCTGGTTCAAAGCAGGCAGCAGCTCAGGCTGCATGAGGCAGCTTCAGCTTGGTGCAGCTATACCAGCACAGTTCAGTGCGAGCTCAACAGTCAGCCAGTTTAAAGCTGTTTTATTACCCTATTCCAGAGCAGGAACATCCTCCTGTGTTCACCTGAATGGACTGCTGATGAACGGCTGTTCCTCCTCACCCCAGCTCCTGAGAACAGACTCTCACATGTTCCAGAAAAACCAGCCTGTCTGCACACTTGTTCCTCTTGCATGCCATGTCCCCTGGATGCAAGCGTGTCCTGTGCAAACGCACCCTGCTCAGGTTAATGCAGGCAAGACAGCACCTTCACATCAGGTCCTGCTCATTTGGAGCTTGGGGAAACAAGCTCGTGGATGGTGCAACCACAGCCTGCTCTTTGGGACGGCTGCACTCATATTTCTAACAATAAAGCATACTGCTGAGGAGGGGGGCTGAATTTTTGTGGAGAGGTGAGGAAAAGCAGCATTTAATTGCACCAATGCAATTTACTGATTTAAGACTTCTCTGTTAGCATTATTGGGGCTGTACTGGTATTACTGTCCCCATTTGAAAAACTAAATCACACAGCTGTACAAGTATGTGCTCAGTGTGACAATTTGCAGAGCCCCACACTGAGAACAGGTTTACAGAGGAAGAACATGTCCCCACGCTGCAGGCAGAAACACACAAGGAGAGACCTGAAGAGACAGGCCAAAGCCCCCAATATCTTACAGCTGCTCTTGTGATACACGCTGGAAGTGGCTTTCAAGACACTGTGGCTTATTAGCAAGCAACAGCTTTAGAAAAGAGCAAGCAGATTTTTCATATCTGATCTGTTTCCTGTCAAGTATCAAAAAGACTTTCAAAACCTTTAAGCCTAATTAGAAATACCATGCACAAAATGTACACTGGAAAAGGAATGTCCCCCTGAACTCACCTAACCACAAGAATCTTGAGGGAAACAGCCAGAGCGCTGTGTGTTCACTTGTCTAGAGTGAGCTTAAAAGTCCTTGTTCTGGGAACACCCTTGAGAGGTTACGTGATTATGAGAAAACCTCTATCTGCATCACCAGGATAAGTACTCAATGTGTGAACATACCCTGAAGATATCTGACCTCTGCATTAAAGCCATAAGAGAGAGGTAGCCTCCATAGGACCAGCCATGAATGCCAACTCGGTCCAAATCAATGAAGTCATATTGGGATGCTAAATACTGCAGTCCTTCCACTTGGTCATCAATTTCTATTTGCCCCTATAAGGGAGAGAAAAGAGTAATTTTTTTTAGTTTTGGACAAAAAGTTAAGCTCACAGAACTTCAGAAGGTAACTAGCTCAACACTTTGGTTATTTCTACTTGTGCAGCACCCAAGCACCCACCAGCACTTCACAGCGCCTGACGTTACAGAAAGGTGATCCCTTTCCATCGTAAGATGCAATAAATTCACACTAACCCATCCCTCTCA